GATGTTGGAAAGCTCCTATTAGTTTCTAAGTCATCAGACAAAAATAATTTCAGGGGTGGTAGAAACATCTCTTTTTTCATGTGTTGCAGGTGGGAATGAGATCCCGAAATCAGGGTGGTGAAAGTTCATCTAACGGGCATGTCTCCTGCCCCAAGTCCTCCATCATCAGCAGTGCTGATGATAAAAGTCTCTCGGAAGATACGAAAAAGAAGAACAAATCAAATAGAAAGGAGGATGATGTCACGGCCTCAGGAACTGTCAAACGACACCTAAAACCATCTGGAGAAAGTGAACGAAAGAATAAGAAATCCTTGGAGTTATCCAAAGAAGACCTCATCCAGCTACTCAGTATAATGGAAGGGGAGTTGCAGGTAGAGTCACATTCTCTCAATTATTGTGTCTCTACTCCTAAGGTGTAACTTAAGAGGTTATGAACCTATCTCCCTCCCTCACTGGATTGTGAACTTCATGGGGAGAGGGGCTGTGTTTTTCTTAGTCATTCCTAAATCCCCAGTGCCTGGCACAAGTTTGCACTTACTACTGTTGAATGAACGGATAAATGAATAGATGCTGATTCCAGCTGCAAGCTTCTCTAGAACAGGACATGATTTTGGTTTAACATAGGTTCTGATTCTTAGTAGTAATTAATCAATGTAGTTACCTAATTTAGCCAAAACCTGCAATTGAAAACTGAAAAGGTCATGATTATTAGAAGGCAGAATTAAGACCAATTGTTACTTTTGCTTTTTTTTTTTTCCAGCTGGTAGAGTAAAAGAGAGATAAAGAGAAAGAGGCTTCATTTAAGCCAGTCTTACTCTTCTCATTTTTTGGTGACTTGCAGCCTTAATTTTCTACAACATCCTAGGAGCTGAGGTGCACGCGAATAAGCAGAGCATTGTAATGTGAAAACCTAGTGCTTTCACAAAGCATTTTCAAGTCTATTATCTCATTCGATCTCAATAAAAATGTGGGTAATATTATTTATAATTTATAGCAAGGTAATACTATCTATAATAAAATTATCTATAATTTATAACTTATAAACAGGCCAGAAGGGTTGTCCAGATCTCATCTTAGGCCTCCTGATTCTTGGTCCAGGGCACTTTGCACTGCCCATCCTCACCAACCTTCTGTCGGTGCCAGGTCCCTGGTTAAGAGAATGTTTTTAAGGATGCAGGGGGAGTTGGGCTTCTTTGGAGTTTCTGAGCCCTGGGCAATTGTATTTCTGGAAGTGAGGAAACAATAACTTTTTTTTTTTTTTTTGAGAAGAGGATGACTTAAGAGTGAGGTTGCAGTTGCTGTTTCCCTTTTTGTTTTTGTTAGATTCTTAGTTTGCATAAGCCTCTAGGGGCATAGTAACAATTGAATGAGATGGAATCTTTGTTTGGTGCTATTAGCATCAGAGATGTTGTCTGCAGCTGCCCTAAACTAGGGTGATCTGATCTGATCTGTTCCTGTTCTAATCTGTGTGTGCCTACAGATAAGGAAACCCCTGGGTAAAGAGAAATAGAGAACGTACAAAACTCAAATTAAAAACAAACAAGTATGGTTGAACTCACCGTTTATGGGCTGAGAAGGATCATCTTTGCGTTTCACAGCAACAGGTGAAATTTTCCAGTGCCACCATTACTCAAAATAACCTCACCACTGCCAGACATGTGGTTATTGTTCTATGTATTAACATTTATTGTGTAAAGAAGTAGAATATATTAGTGCAACTTTTTAAGCTGCCCTCAGCCTACAGCTATTGACCTGAGTGGAAGGTACAACCATTGCCTTTGAAATCTTAACCAAAGCAAGCCACTCTCCCTGGAGTGAGATGGCCTGTACTCTGTGGAGTGTGTATCTACTTTTACTTTAAACATCCAGTCCTACATCTCATGTTCTCTCTGGCCTTCTGAAACAGCCTGGACTCTGTCTATGGAGTATGTATCTCTCTGAATAAATCTACTTTGACTCAAAAAAAAAAAGAAAAGAAAAATGGAATCTTCACAAAGCAATGCCATCAGCTCACTTCTTTCCGGGCATGTTGGCTTGTGTGAAGCCTGTGGCTCTTCCAGACACTAATTTCTGTAGAAGGCTGTTATATCATCGTGGACTCTGGACAGTATTTAAGATTCATGTGGCTTTTATCTCCATGGTGTTGCCAGATATGATTCCAGAGCCTAAGCATGAAAAATATAAGCCCACACACCTGGGACATGAAAAAAATTAACCAGAAGACTCCAAGGAAATGCAATTTGTCCTCCCTTAATCTTTATGAATACAGGCTACCTTACCTTATCCAATAGATGTATTCCTGAGCAGCAGTAAATAAGGAAATAGTGTAGGATATTTGTAGGGGAGGCAATGAAGAAAAAGAGAAATGAAGGCTCTGATATTGTAAGGAACTCCATGGTGAGTTCATTTGCAATGCAAATAATCCATCCTCTATATATTTATATGCACATGCATATGTATGTAAGTATTTGCACTTGTAAATGCAGATTCTGCAATACTAAATTTGTTAAAAAATGAGAGGACTCCTCTATTTAGAGTTGTGGATCCATTGTCACGGGAGGGGGGGTGTGTGTTGTAGCTAAGAGTGGGAGGTGGTTGGCATTAGCAAATGTGAGTGGGCTGGTGAAAATGTGACCACTGTGTGCCAGGTTTGCCACACTAGAGACGAGAAAAAAAGGTCTATTTAAAGATATGGTGCTGAGAAGAGAGGCAGAGAGTTTAGGGACCCTCAGCTCAGGCCTAGATGTGATTCAG